AGAAGAAGACTTCCCACAGCTTCGCCGCTTCTCTGGCCAGTGGGCGGTCCACCGAATCGCACAACAATCTTGGAGCAACCACAGATCCTACCGGAGCTGCGTAGGTAACGAATCAACATACCGTGGCCGTAAGGCCGCTGCCCGCCGCATTAATCATGATGGTTCTGCCTCGCCCCACATCCCTTCGCACCGCCGCCGCTCCTCTCATTCACGGACCCCTACACCCATTGCAGGCCCTTCCCACTCCGACGACCTTCTTGCCTTCTCTGACAACGAGAACGGCGATGCTGCCGCGTCGAACGATGACGACGACGATGACAGAGAAGATACAGAGGATCCCGAGGATCCCAAGGGGAAGAAGCGAGCCGTGCCGGATGGGGACGAAGAGAGCCGCAAGCGGCAGCGTACACATTAGCTTGAATGTAATAGACATGCGAAATCATAATGCATTTCATGCAATTTCTATTGAGTAGTTACTTCTTTATAGTGTGAATGCACTGAGTGAAAAAAATATGATTTCATGGTTATTGATTTTGAATTGCACGGCTGACCGCGGCGAAAACACTATATGAAATGTTACATTTACCACCTGACTTTCACGTTTCTAGAATTGCATGAATTCCACAAGAATTCACTGGATAGTCGCAGGAAAGACATGCGAGAATACCATGAAACAGCCATGTGAAAGTCATAGGGTTTGCGGGCCCCAGTGGGCGTGGTACGCCGTTGGGCTGCTTGCGCGGAACGGGAAGGGAGACGTCGCAACTGCGTCTGACATATCAAAGACGTGTAAGTTCTTGGTTGTTCACAACGCTATTCCCACCATAATTTCCTCCCAGGATTTCTTTTCAGGTATGAGTTGTGGTTTTCACCATTTCGCTGCTGACTCTGTCAAGTTTCCTGAACGGATTCAGCGGCGTGATGCGTAGGTTTTTGAAGGAAGAGAAAGCATACGAATGAGCGCGGTATTCCATCCCCTTCTCCGATGCCGTGTTGAGCTCCTCGGGATTCCCTTGCTGGGGCGATAATAAGTCCCACGCGTGTTGTGCTGATTATTTTGCCTCATTCCTGCGGTCGATAGAAGGAGCTGTCCGAGAACGTTTCAATGCAACTTCCGAAAAGCCCACACGTTATATTTGTACAACAATACCAGAGTTTATTTCTCTGGCTTACCTCTTGACCTAGGTGGACAAAGCCAACACCAGTTGGAAAATCAATGAAGCGCGCACCACTCCTGTTGTAACTTTCGCCGCCGACCATACATATAACTGTTGCTCATTTTCACCTAGGCCTGTGCCGTGAGACAGCACAGTTCCACCACGCCTTATTTCTCTTACTTAACTCTCGACCTAGGTTGACGAAGACAACAGCAAGTGGACTATTTGCAGCGTAAGCATGCTACCGTTCTGTGCATTTTCAACTGACACTGGCAAAGGCTCGTCTTGCTGTGCAAACTCCCGACGCAATTGAGCCAACTCCTCTTCATCTCCGTTAATTAACTCGATCCATTCATCCGCGTCTCACCCCCGCTCAGTCTATACATTCATCTGAGCTTCCATCCACATCATTTCACCTTTAGACCCTTGCAAAGAAAGTCGACTTGTCTTAGAAAAGTCAAAAATCCGTTCTTCGGATCCTTTTTTCACTTTTGGTCCTTTAAAAAGACGAAAAAGCTGCAAAAAGAAAAGTTGTCAAGTTTCCCTTTATAAGATCGCCTGACGGTCTGAAGCTTTCTGAACTCTGACAGGAAAATCTCTCGGTTTGGCGCCACACGACCACCTGGACCACATACTGCACAACACTCTTCTCACGATATAAAAAGCTGCCAGTGCTTGGGCGAAGCGCTAGGCCGCAAAGCCGCCCTCGTGCGCTCTTTTGCACTTTAAAAACACGGTTTCAAGCCTGGATTGGCGCGCGTCTCGTCACGACGATACATTCAGTCGTACAGCCCTCTCAAGAGAAGTGGTGGGCCGCAAAGCGCGCTCTTGTCACTTCTATATTTTCGAAGACCTGACACTGCAATATCATTTTAACAGCTCTCGTACCGGGAAAGTGCGGAAGCCTTTTGCTCGTGATACCACGACACTCTACAGCTTTCCCTCCTCCTCCCTCTTGCCTCCCTTTTGCTTCTCGCTGGCTCTCTTGCCGGCCGACATGTTTTCCAGAATGCGTCGTGTGCGCTCCACTAGAGTCACCTCAAATGCCTTTGCTGCGACAAAGGTCACTCTCAAAGCAATCCAAGCATCTACAGACGCCTTTCCGCCTCTCAAATCCGTTGTATCCGCTGTTATACTGGTCTTAGAGTTAAGCCAGGTGAGCTTTCGACTCCAGCACATTTCTCAAAGTTGCTTGCTCATGGACAATGGCATCGACCGTTCAGCAAGTGAAGTCGAATAAGAAGGAATGCGACCACATCGCAAAGCGCTCCACACAGCTTGTGCAGGATATTTTGAGACAAACAAAGGATTTCAATGTCGCGCTACCAGCTGAGGTGGAGGAGAGCGTTGTTCAGATCGAAGAGTATGTGTCTGCCTTGTCCACTTACAGGTTTGAATATTGATCTGGCTTGCAGGCTATTCGAAGAGATTGAAAAATTCTTCAAAGAGCTCAAAAAAGAGAACTTTTTGGAACAAATTGCTCGCCAAGATCGTAACAAAAGCCAAGTCGAGGAGTATGGAAGACTAATGGACGAGGCAATGCTACATTTCAGTGTACGTGTCTCCCTTGGTGTCAACCTTCCAAGTGCACTGACATTGATATCAAGTTCAATATGGAATTAAGCCTCCATCGTTTGCATCGGGAATCCGCTACCGCTGTGCTGGCCGTCTCGCAGATGAGTGAATCTGAGCACTTGGTGCGTCAAACCTGAGATGTGCTTTACCGAGCACTAATTGACGAACTACTTTTGGCAGCAGCTCCTCACACAGATACGCGGTAAAGTGCCGTTCGTTCAGGTGGCCCGGTATCTGACTATCATCTAGGGGACGTCCATATGGGGAAGCATGCAATCATATTGGCTGGCGCTTTTTTTTTTTTAGATCCGGCAACCGGCGTAATTACGCTGGAGTCACTTGATGGGAGGGACGGCTTAGGCTGTGTTTGAGACTTGAGAAGGACAGGGCATTATTACCTTTCATATCCTACTTCCTCGCTACTAATATATACAATATCTCATTGATTTTTCCTCGCCGAACACAGTCAGAACTCCTAATTGATCCAACTCTCGTCGCCGGAGACCTCTCGACAACCGCGGCGACAGCGTAGAAAAGGCGGATTTGAATGGGGCTAAGTATAGCAGCCAAGTAGGAGACGCCGCTCGCCTACTAATGAAAACGACGTCTTCTCCGAGTCCAACTTCTCTCCGTCCTTCTCCTCCCGTTACAATCGACGTACGAAGCTAACCTGAACAACGGGCAGTTATTTCTATTAAGTATCTGTTCCGGATGGTTACCAACTTATGGCGTAACTGGGAAATCCACAACGCCCGTGCCACTGGAGACGTGGGAACGAAGCCCCTGCGCCGTGCTGTGAGATCGTACAATAACACCACGCTTTGATGCTCTGACTTGACTGTGAATCTAGGTGGATGAGGCCAACACCAGCTGGAAGATCAGCGAGGCGTGCGCCACTCCTGTTGTAAGTTTTGCCACCGACTCTATTTCACTTTCGCGCACTCAGAGTCAGGCTCGTGGGACTCCTGTGAGGCTGAACAATATAATCATGCCGTATTTCTCTTATCCGACTGTCAACCCAGATCGACGATAACAACACCTCGTGGACTATTGGGAACAATGAGATGGTTTCTACATTATGAGGAAGAATTCTGGCCCCAACTTGTAATAGGTGGATTCGGGCAACGACAGCTGGACCATACACAACGCCAAGTGTGCTGCTCCTACCCCCGCTGTAAGCTTCTCGATCCTGAATTTTGCGTAAGTACTGAGCTGATGAGTCAGGATCTCTAGGCATGATCAAAATCCGTTATTGACTGCCACTGCTCGTGTGTTACTTAAATTATCGTCTAGTCTAAATACTCTCTTTTGTTTAGTTACTTACATCCATCGTGGATGATCCATGGTATCGAACCCTTGAGGTTCGAGTACCATGGACAAACTCTTGTGTGCAATCCTTCCGGGCTACTGAATTTTATTTGTATTTCTCTTGAACCGTGTGAAAAAAACATGTGATCGGTCCGTGGTCTTCCTCCCTGGGAGCTTCTGCAAAGTTGAGGGGAGCCCCCTCCCTTGGTTTGTTCACCGTGAGATCGATGATATCATTTCCAGAATATCGACCCAAGTGGAGTAAAAAAGACGGGGGGCGCTTATGCGGACGGGGGAGTCGAACCCCGAGAGCCGCAATGTAACCAACTATTTCCTAGCAGGTTTCGCAGCTGTGCACCGTGCACGACGTCCGCTTTCTTCCCTACTTTTGCTCACTGGGAAGACAGCCTGAGATGGCATGTTATTGGTCGCCGGCTCGTCGTTCGTCGTCCAAACCGTGAGAAATTCGAATTCGTTCGGAATATAATGTTCTGGATTCAGATGGGCAGCGGTGACGTAGGCAAGTATGCATGGGCTTCCCTCCTCATCCTCCTCTTCCTACTCCTCATTACATCTCTCCTCAATATATTCTTTGAGTTCCAAAAAAAAAAGCAATGGAACCATCGGAGTGGACACAGGGAGTCGAACCCTATCTGCTGCTGCAATGGCAGATGGTGAGACATGATAAGCTGCTGCAGGCGTACACCGTGTACCGTGTCCGCTTATCTGTGTGGATTTCGCCTAATTCAAAGCCGCGAGAAGGATACATCGACGCGGGATTGCGGCGGACATAAAGTCGATCAATGTTGAAACTTGACTCATGCATTACAGTCTAGTGTGGTGTTACCAGTGTAGCATACACACAGAACATCGGGACGCGGTGCGCGATTTCTTTCGCTCGTTAGGAAACGGGGTGTTGTTTGGACTGGGATGGAAAAAGCAAGAGAAGAGAAAATCGAGTGCGGACGCGGGGAGTCGAACCCCGTTAGCTGCTGGATTTGATCGATATCCTATGAAACGCAGCGGTGCGCCATGCACCACGTCCGCTTTTCCTGTTGTCTCGTTCACTATAAGTAAGCCTGAACTGTGAAGTGTTTGGTCGGGGAATAAGTATTGGACAACAGCGATATGCGACGGGCCGTGTCAAGCCGTAATTGATGGACCACCACCTCAGGGACCTCCGTTTTGCTTAGTCAGGGGCCTGTTAGGCCATTTAACTTGTATGACAGCAAATGGCCTAACAGGGTACATCGGAGGTACGGAGCCGATGCTTCGATGACGTGATTTCCCCTTTGGGCTTCTGCCGCCGTTTTCGGCCTCCAGCCTCTGCCTCCCATTCCCGCCTCTCGTGCGCGCGTCCCTTACAACACCTGGAACTGCAGGATCAACTCGTACACCAACTCGTACATGCGACCTCGCTCCTTTAGCACCCCTTGACGCGCCTGACAGCTACCTTTTCAATGGCGTCTAATGGTCGCGCCCTCAGCAGGCACTCTTTACGCACATCCCAGCCCGCAACGCGCTTGGGAGCTGGCGCGCACTTCACCAGTCCGCTCAGGGTGCGAGATGAACAAAAGAAACACCGTGTTATCGGTACCGGACGCGCTGCCACCATCGGCGGGCTTCGTTCCCGGCTCAGCCAGCTCCTAGCTGATGATCTGCCTTCCACCCCGCCAGCGCAAGACCAACTCAACCCTGCTGAGCCACCTGCTGGGCCCCTCGGTGAAGCGGGAGAAGGAAACAACTGGATTGACGTGGACCCGGAGCCTCCGGCACCTGCTCTGCTGCCTGTCCCTGGCCCTCGACCTGGACTGGCTGCTGCTGAACGGTTGAACCTTGCCTGGAACGTGCTGCTACCCATCCTTGAAGGTCCATATGCACAGTACCTGCGTAGCAGCTACGGACAGTGCCCCTCCCTCATACCTTCGGCGATACATTACGAATGCACCACCTCTTGTGGGTTCCCAGTGTCGAGTAAAGTGCGATTTCTTTATATATCACGTTCGTATCCTTCATATCATTGCTTCCCATTGGTTCCTCACTGAATCTGAATGCAGATTCTCAAATGGTGGACGTGACAACCTGCTGTTGCATGCCGGTTGCTTCTCTCCTCGTTCAGAACGGAGTGTTTCCTGCCTCGCCGACCAAGGTACAGACCGGCATATCAATTGATCTTCTGGGGATTTATCGGGCGCTATTTGAGCGATCCTGCGATGCCGTCACAGCCCTCGCGTCTGCCCTCCAGAGCATCTATCAGCGTTTTGGGTTTCCAGTACATGCACAGAGGGTACGCTGTTGTGTTTACACGTGAATGACTCGACTGAATCATTATTCCTCAGAACACTGAACTTCTTGCGACGGATCCTTTCTGTAAGTTGCTCGGCCAGGCAGTCCTTTGGGACTGCAACCTCCGGGTTCGATTGCAAGCCAAGGTCGACGCGGCCTTGGTTGCAGCAGAGCTGGCACTTGCCCCTCCTGCTCCAGATCCAGTGCCAGCGGGGGTGGCGGAGCCTCCTGTTTCCGCAACCAACATCGCAACCTCGGATGCTCCATCCCTCCTGATGTCCATCGACAAACAGGACGATACCATCGACAGACGGGACAATACACCCCTGCCACCCACGCTTCCTCCCAGAACACCCTACCCAGCAACACCGGAGCCTCCCGTTCATGAGACCGCCCCAGCAAGCAACACCACGCGCCCTTCCTCCCCAATGTCCATCGACGAACTGGACACTACGTCGCCGCCACCATGTCCGTCACCGCATCGCTCCATACCGTCCCCATCTCCACCACCAACTCTGCTACCTCCTCCCACAAGTCCGCTGCCGACCCCGCCTAGCCCTCCGCGGCCATCTCCACCGCGTCCCCCTACAACTCCGCCGCCGACACCCCTTAACCCTTCGTCGCTCACGTCAGGATGTGCCGCGCGCGTTTTAAGAGAGCGGTGCCCTGCGTGTTTCGGTTTAGAGGAGTGGGGAAGATCGCTCAGAGAGTGAGTTCCCTCTCTAGTTATTTGTATACAACTCCTGACCGAGGATCTCCCTACAGCGGTGGCGATGTCCAGCTTGGTGCTGATGGCTGTTTCAGCTTTCGTCACCTCCGTTCAGTGGGCGACGGTCCCATCTCATATGATTCTTCATATTTTGTCTCGAAGGAGAAGGTCGCCCAAGTTGAGAAGCGGATAAACAAGGCCTGGAAGAAGAAGCCAGCGGTCTTCAAACCTGCAATTCCGCAGGAGGCTCTTGATGCCTGCCAGGAGTCGTGGAATGCTGTGAACGAGAAGAAGCAGAAGACCAACACCAAGCACTTCGATGCTGGAGGCGTTTTTGTGATGACCTGTCGTCATTCACAGGTTCTTTTCCTCTGCGACATCGACACCCCCGGCGAGCAGCAAAAGTACATTGTTGCCTTGCTAGAGGAGGTAAACAGCCTTCTTCCACCGCGGGCAACAATCCTGCAGGCGTACAATGTGGGATGTGTTACTGATCACAGCTTTAATCTGGTATGTTTTCCATGGATCGTCGCTCGGAGTCTCCGGCTAACCCATTTCACAGTTCCAAATTCTGACGAACGGTTTCCGGGAGCGTGTCTCCTTCATAATCAATGCCATGCATGCCTTTGGGCACCGGTGGGTTTGTCAGCTTGTTTATAGTCCCCGTTGTCGTGGCGGCGCCGGCTTGAGCGACATGTAGGGTGTTAAACGCTTCTGGTCCCGTATTCGGAAGCTGATCCCTCTCACACGAACACAATGGGTCAGTTCTTTTAAGTAAATTTATTCTCAAGTATTGGTCTAACAGAGCCCAGAATTCCTGTCGTCTTTGGACCATAGATCAGGACACATCATTTGTTAATCAAGAGGGTCTCGACGGACTCGGGGCCTGGTTGAAGCGACAAGAGACCAAGAACCTCACCAAAAAGCGTAAAGCTGTGGTCACGACACTCATACAGTGTGGTGTCCCTGAAGCTGAGCTCCACAAACCTCCGTGCGCTCACGTAAGGCACTTATTCTAATAAATCCATTCCTTCTTCTTACTGAGATGGCAGATGCTCCCATGTGCCTACAGCGAAACCTCGACAAAGTCCTGAAGCTGCAGGAGCAGATCGACACTGTCGGTAAATCAATTTCTGACGCCAAACAATCCCTCACAAGCGGCGATGGGAAGGCGTCCCCCGACACCCTAGCCCATCTTCGCCGCCTCCAGGTCACCCACGAAATCCTCAGTTCCCAGGCGGAGGCGCTGTATGCGTCCCTGAATATCCATGCCTCCTTCCCCGAGTTGCGGGGGCTTCCCTTAGACTCTGTACGAACCCTTGTCATCATGAGGGACCTCAAGATTAATATCTGCGGTCGTGCCATCGAGTCGTTCTACGAGTGGGAGACACTAGATCGCGCTGTTGCAGGGCGACGGGAGCCTCTGGGTAAGCCTGATCTCGGCCACAAAACATCAAATTAATTATTTTCTAGGCACCAAACTCCACCACGCTACGCAGAAGACCATCTCCAAGTGTGCACCTGCTCTCCTCAAGGCCATTAATAAATTCAATTCCCACTGTGCAAATCTCGAGAGGCTCTGGCCTTCTGGATGTACCATTCCTATCCCACACCCACTCCCGACGAAGCTCAGTCTTCTCCGCGAGGATCCCTCGCTCCACGAGGATGTCTGGGTTACCCCATCCGAAGGGGAAATTCCCCGGTGGCTGGACAATGCAGATGTCCGTGACGGCATTCGGGCCCTCCATACTTTCGATCGATGCCAGGAGGAGGCGCGGCGGCTTCATCTGGAACACAATAGCTTGATGGAATGGTTGTCCCACGAGCTCGCCGTTGCTGAGCGGGCCATCGACACCAACGAAGGTAGGCATCTTTTCTATCTCCAAGGTCTGACACCTGACTACTACTTTCAGATTTGTGCCTCGAGCTTCCGCTCCAGCAGCGGCGGCAACGCCTCCAGTATCTGGAGAGCTCCTGGCAGCTTCCCAAACAAACCCACTTTGCCCATTTTCTCCAGAGCGCACCATCCGGCTCGCTGCCCACATCCACGTCCACCTTCTCCACCACTGCTGTCCCTTCCGCCGCTTCCATCTGTACCTCATCCACGACTTCCACCGCTCTCACCACCAGAATCACCCCCTCAATGTCCACTGGCGCCTCTGGTCTCGCCCGCACCTCTGCAGGGTCTAGGATTGGCACGTCCACTCGCACTCCCGCACGCACCTCTTCATCCACTCTCAGTGCCGCCTCCACATCTGCCGCCACTCGTGCTCCTGCACGCGCCTCCTCATCTACTCTCAGTGCCACCTCCACAATCCTGGAGCCAGTGGCACTATTTGAGGAGCCGGTGTCAAATGCCGTCCCCACCGTAGATCTAGAGGAGATTGATCCCTCCGACATCTCCAATGTGTACGATATCCAAGGTGGGGCGTACCAAGCTGAATCTGACGACGAGGAGGACTCCTCCGGTTTCAATACAGGCTTGTCAAACCTCCAGATCATCTGGCAATGTGCGGTGCGTCAATGTCGCATTGACATGTGCTAAACTAACCATGCTACAGACTGGGCTTAGCGTTGACACAACCTTTATTGATGATCTCCGTACATACAATCAATCTTTGACAGTCTCCCAGATGGCGGTGCCTCGTGTTGTTGTCGGTATTAACGGCTGTTCAACAGTGGAGGTGCTCATCCCGGACCTGGATCGCCTCCACTCACCAGCCGGCCGCCTGAATGGCGAGATTCCGAACGGTGCCGCCGCCACGCTTTTCAACCTTTTCGACGGCCCAACCTCCCTTCATAACTCTGGTGCGTCCAGATGTGCACTCCTCAATACCTATGATCTTCATCACATGCGATTCAATGCCCCTGATCCCGTTCTTTGGAGGTTTCTCTCAGACACGCGGTACTGGAAAAAACCCGTCTGGATCATCCCAGTCCATTGCCCCAAGGAGGAGCACTGGGTTCTCGTAGTCGCCGCAGTGCAGGAAAATCACCTCTTCTTCTTTGACAGTCTTGGGCTCCGTAGTGGCTGGCGTCAAGATATGCAGGT